TATTCTCATACACTTAATTATTTTGTTTATTTTCATGATCTTTGGTAGTTAAGGTGACTGGTGAATTAATTTTATTATCTACCCCTGATTGCCGTGTACGACAAAGCAAATAACACTGTCCTATACCTTAAATTCGGCAAATACTTGGTTTTCTTCCGTAGAACGAAGTTAGTTGACACAAATTACTCAAAGCTAATCAGTTCAGTTCAGTAATACTTCTAAGCAAACTGGTAAACGTATTAAGCTGTCTCATTTTCCATTGTGAAGGTAATAACAATAATGATGATTTTGAAATTGTAAATACTTTGTTGAGCATGGGCAAAGCTTTTTAACAGTTAATATGAAACATCATATAAGAATTATACCGGGGCACTATGTCATATTCTCCGACTTAATGATAGTATTGGGAGCTTGAATTATATAACCTGATCAGCACTAAGAACTAGTTAACTATTGTTTAGTGGACGAATGGAAAATGTGATCTACTTTTACAGATGGTCGATTTAAACTCAGATAAATAAATGATACGGCATTTGACTGCAGCGCTGTTTTATATAAATGGAGATGAGTAGAGGGGGCCATTAACTTTCATCGTGGATACATATTGCTCGGGAGTGCTACTATACATAAAGCAGATGAAGTAGAACTTTTTGTAGGTCGCCTGCAATTATGGAATGATCAACTAATATTTGACGGTACAAAAATGTGTCTGTAAATTTCTACCCACAAAATTCAAGAATACAATTGAACAGTCATTTTGACTTACATAAGCCTATTGAACTTTGGTTTTAATAATTCACATAGTTTTCTATACATTTGTGTAAAAAGAGTGACCTCAAACAGTGCTTAGTATACTTTTATTTCCCTATTTGCTACATAATTTAAGAACAACTGACCAACCATTGATGTAATTACATGTGGGAGTACATGAAGTCTGAATATTTTTTACATGATTATAATTAGTTAGAAAAATTTAAAATATCTTAACTACCGCAACTCTCAAGTATACGTATAAAAATAGTATTCCATACCAAAAACTTGGGTTTAGAGTGAAAAATAATATGGCAGATATAAATATTTTGCTTATTTCACTTACTTTTGATTACTGTGAATTTAAGAGATTATTACACGTGTCGGAAAAAGATTAAGAAACAACAAAACAACTTTTAACTGTACATTTTATGAATATAGATCGATATGGAACACTTTTGGCTATTTGATAATCGTTTATTCCGTAAACAAAAAAAACTAAGTGATGTAATTATGCGAGTATATCTGAGACATTATATGTTGTTTGAACTGAATTTAGACAGTTGACGTGTTTAATATTGAACAGTAATTATGTCGCTATATCTTGATTGTGTACTAAGTACTTTCTAACAGAAACATGAGAACTAATAGAGGTATCGAGAAGTTTCTACTACCTAAACGCATCCTAGAAGTATAGGAAAATGACGATCCAATCTTATGAGCAATTATTATTTAGGTACAGTATATCATTTCAAAATATCAAAGTATTAGAAGTTTATCCAGAATTTTAGCAACCAATTGATATTTATAACAGTTTAAACTACTATCAAAAGCTCAAGAATTTACTAGCTTGTGTGGTAAAAATTATTAGTTAAAAGACTTTAAATAAAAGCATCTTTGGAGCAATATTTTATTTTAAACAAACAAATATGCTGTGAGAGATGAACATTAGGATCCAATTGTAAGGTCTGTGACAAAAATGATACTACGATAAAATAATAATAAATCTCATAAATACAGTGATGAATGATTGGAATCCTTGCAATTACAAAGTGTGAATTCTAATTGTTGAAGGAATTCAAAAGCACATAACAACGCAACTCATGACGTCTTTTAGAGACAATGTATTATGTTCTGTGCTAGCGGTGATACGAAGTCATAAGCTGATGATAAGACAGGTACAGGGATTCGTTGTGAGGGATTAAATACGCAGAAAGATGGGAAAAAACTGTCGTACAAATACTTATTAAATGACTCTGTAATATATGACACAACAGCCTGTCGGAGGTAAAAATGAAAATGAAATAAACAATGTGGAAAAATGAGATATGTGAGATTTATGGTTTATAAAAGCACCCAGATGGAAACGGAACAAAAATTTGACGCTTACAAACAAACACTAGCAATCAACATGAATTTTGAGAACATCCTAATGAAATGGTGACTTAAAAGTTTGTTTCAGTTGGTGCATGAGCTTTAAAGAATGTCTCTAATATTTATCACGCAAACCAGGAAACTAAGTTTTATTCGGTAAAGCTAAGGTATGCTCTCTTCAAAATGTTGCTTAAACTAGAGTCATAAAACAATAAATTGTGATAAAACAAAACAATAATAATACAACCCAAAAGTCTTGCATGTTGGAGCTAACGATATTATTCAGATGCTCAAGTATTAATAACCAAGGCGAGGTTCAAACATGAGCTCGACCTCTTGAGATTCGAGGGCCTAAACTATGGAGTTACAATTTTAGTAGAATGATAGAACCAGTAAGTGTTTTAAAGTCCCTACATGTGCGTCCGTATCACCGAGTTCGAGTCATGTCACTTAACGCTGTAATCCGATGACTACATATACCTCACCAACCGTAACCAGATAGCCCATATTTTTGAGAACAATTCAGACTAATAATTGATAACTTTAGGAACTCATTCCATATCTTGGTTTGGTAGCCCCGAGTCCTTTTTAATTTACTAGTTAGCTAAATAACATAAAGCGCCAGGGTATGTGGAAGTCAAGCATATACAACACGTAGGCAGAGTTTCGAAAACTTGGGACATAGATATGCCTTTGACTTTCAGTGACTCTGTTTTACGACTGTACAGCAATACAGAGTGGACGATTTCTTGACATACGTTTTGGTAAACAAATTGATACTCAAATGTACCACGCGTGAATAAGTTGGGAATCAAACGGGCATTTAGTATCGGCGCAAAGATTCCACTAATCATGGTTGGTTATTTATTTATTTATTGAAACATATAAATATTGGTACAAGGGAGCACTATATATATATATATATATATATATATATATATATATATATATATATATATATATATGCGCCACATAAATCATTCGACTTGTGTGAGGGTTGGGATACTGCTCGGGTGCCCAGACCGAAACAGGTGGTTTTCTTAGGGGGCCACATCCGGAGCCTTTGACCTAAATATCTAGTCCACAAGGCAGTGGAGCATCGTAAGGAGATGCAGTCCTATGGTAGCCAGTGACCAACAATTGATTCATACGCCATTTGTTCTCTCATGATACTGGAGCCATTAGTTCGGAATCAGGGTTTTCCAACTCCTCTAGGTGGATTCGCCGTGCCCACCAACCCGGTTAAAGCGTCGGACATTCGCTTTCCGTCCTCTCAATTTCGTAAACAACACCCCCACTACTCGACTCTGAGTCACAGAATTCGCTAGAATTCACAACATTCACTGATATACGACTACGTGTCCTTTGTAACAAATGGTGCTTAAAGGAAATATTTATAACACGCTGTTAAGTTAATTTCCATGAATATATGTAAATCCTAGTTGAAAGAAGACGGTTATTTGATAAGTTGTTTCATGTTCTATCTACCAGAAGCTCATAGATGAAAATTATATTATATTATAGCTGCGTATGGACAAAATAATGCAACAGATGAAATACTTGAATTGTAGTAAAATGAATTTATGAAGATTTACGAAGAAAAGTTATCCAGTTTATAGGTACTAAACCGAAACCACAATATTTAGCAGGATGTTAGGTGCTATCTATCATCAACAGCTTACCCAAATTTGTCAAATCCAGTAGGGATTTTGTGGTTATATCAAAGATTTAAAACTGTTCTCTAACGTCAAGGTTCAAGCGTAAATTAATAATTCTGAATTATACCGTCTAATAATAAACACATTAGGCGTGCTGAAAACTAATACTTGACAGTACTGTCTGGAGGTCCTAGAAAGTTTATTCTTGATTATCTCCAGGTTTGAAAAGACATAAAGCCTCCAAAACAATCAAATAACCGTCAATCTTGCTTTTGGGAGACTAGTGAAGTCTAAAAATATATTAAAACAACTTCAATACACATGGGGTTAGCTGAATAATTGTTTAGAGACTTTTATGTGAAATGATAATATAGGGTTAGATTTTACGATAACAGGGGAATGATGCATATGTTTTAGTGGATATTTATCAAAGAGATTGGACAGTCCTGTTACCCATATAGATACTCTAGATACGTTTAAGTACATCTACATCGATAATGAGACAGGAAAAAGCTTTCAGTATGCAGTATCCTAAATGGGGTTTTATCCAGGTGAAAAATAAGATTCAAAACATTTCATAAACTGACTCGGTCCACAATGTTTATGATTTAAAAATATCGATCTCTACACACGCATCAAATAAGGACATAATGGAGTTTCTTAGTGAATTATATTCAATCTAGTGTTATAAAAACATGAATTCACACTTCAAACGTTTTTTTCGAGTGAGGAAAGTAATTGTGATAAAGGTTCCCTTAACGTTACCACGGTTGTCGCTGTCTTCTGACATAACTGTGCCACACAAAGAATTACTCTTGCAAGTTCTTAGAGAGATTTTAAAGTAGGTTTGGTCAGTGGGACAAGCACAGAAACGCTATAAAGATTAACTACAGATGAATAGGTCCTACGTGGAAGAACCAGTGTCACACAGGATCGATTCACACCTCAGTGACATGCAAATGTACGTTATCAAACCAGTAAAATGACTAGTATCGCAAAAAATTAAACCACATAACAGAATTAAGCGGAAGAAGCACTACCTAGGATAAACCGTTACGTTGAGCAACCAATATAAATTCACCTCCTCAAGTTATGGGTATCAGAAAATGTGACATTTCAAAACTCCACTAAAAATTTCAAAATAAAGTTATAATGTTGATTTAAAAATGAACAAATAACGAATAGACCATTTCATATTTTATTGTTTGAACTGTTGCGTCATGACAACAGCTAGGAGCTCATTTTAAACATATGTGACGGTAAGATAGGTTTCACTGAAGGAACTGTCGCATTGTAGTCGAAGTAATATTTTTCCTTGGTAATACAGCACGATCGATATGCAAAACGTGTGGCTGTGTGATGATTTAATGAATTATCATTTTTTTAAATATGGTGACGTTTTATAGTATGTTTCACTACATATTTCCCAATTATCCTCCATATATTAACGGGTTATTAGTAGTGTTTAGACTTTAATTCGCCACTTGTTTGTTAACGGCTTCCAATGTTTTGGATATTTGAGTTTTTAATGCTTAATAGCCAGTATTAATGCATTTGCTGTATTTCTGGAAGCCCAAAAAATAAGCCACTTATAAATAGATCTCTGTTGATGTCATAGACCAGTGTGAGGAGTAAGAATTATGATTTACAGTTGATGGTCAGAGGCAGGAATTGTATTTTGGTTTTTGATCACTAACTGACATCAACCGAAATGCCAAAACACTAATTAGTCCAATGAACAAATAAATCTCGCGCCAAAATTCAATGCCTGTTATCTCAAATCTGATTGATTCGCGCATAATTTATGGTCTCGCCTGTTTATAAATTACGTCTGCTGGAATATATTTATGTTCTACCGCGGTTTGAGTCTTCTCCTTCAATGAGGAAACCTGTTTAACATGAATGAGGTTTTCTAAAACCACTTTTTATCTCTGACAAAAGATTACTTCGTTCAACGTGATGTGAAATAGTCGCCCGACTAATTTACATTAATTTGATCATGATTCTAGTTAGACAAACTGTTTAGTTGATCAGATGTTTACCATTGGACTTATATGCAGGGCTATGGATGCTTTAGAGATATTAAGCAGTATTGTCAGTGGTTAGCCAAATTTATCCTCCAGGATTCTAATGATTCAAGGACGAGTATTGTTGGAATCACTGGACGTATCTAGTCTGAGATGTCGGAGTATTTGTCGAACAAATTCCTCATTAAATACAGGATCCGTTGACAATACTCGGTTGTTAGAATTAATGGATGGGCTCTCAACTCCATATTTTGAATAAAAACCCGCTGAAATACTTAAACGAGTCTTTAGCTTTGTTGACACCATCAATCGACAATTGAAGTGAATTTTCTTGAAGCTGGAGTCACGATATTCGAGAGAAATCCTGTATGGCTGTTCTGAAGATCTAAGACCAGATGTTTCTCATAATGTAAAAAAGCTTTACTTATAAACATTTCAGAGGCGTTTCTATTTTTACAGAAAATGAATTTGGATTGTTTTGAGTTTGAGGAGGTGAACAGGTTTCTGTGGTAATTAGAAGCATTTGAATTGTTGTACGACCTAGGAATTCCCGAAATAACGTGATCTAAGTGGACGGAACTAGGTCAGCACTAATGAATGTATTTTATTTGAAATCCGAAATCAGGCAGACATCAAGTACCAAGTAGTCATTAGTTCATACACAAATCACAGGTATTCTATATCTAAGATACTTTTTGACTCATTTTGTTATCCACGACAGACACTTGTTGAATCTATGTAATTTTAGGCATGATATGAATGTGAACATAACAGAGCTAAAAGTAATTTTAAAAATAAACTATTATTCTTCAGTCATTGAATTAGTGTTAACCGACTCCTTCGTTACTCCAGCACACTCCTTAAAGGCCGAAACGTTTGCTCGCCACACATTTGGGCGAGTTTATATGTGATCACTGACTATGTCACAGACCGCTAACCTGGATGATATAACTGAAGATCCCTATTAGCTAGCGGTAACAAAACATGTAAACAGGGAATATCCTCAAATTCATGCCGCAGTACTACGTCCAACAAAAAAGGTCCCAGGTTACGACCAACACGTATAGATTTGAATAAATAGCACCTGAGTGTTAATGTTGACTATACTTTGATAACATCTGAAGTTCTACTGATTTAATTGATGTTGTTTCAAATGAACCACATTTGGATTAAATTCAAACTGTCTTCAGTTAGCCCAACATAGTTTAAAACATAATCTCATACTATTTAAATCGTGATCTGTTTTATTGTCTTTATGATGAATATGTAAACAGGTTATAAGTATAAGTGACCATGAACCTGAAAATAGCCTATTTTTCTCGTCATGAGTCTTTTATCAAAAGTTATGATAAACGTCCATTTACGGTTCTCTTGTTTATTGAGTTTTTACAAATTGACTAGTCTTATTTGAAACTTTAATTTGTCTGACACTAAATATTCAGTACTGCTCGTACAGATATTGTTCGAAAGACATCATATGTAATGCTATAAAGTTGTTCAAACAATCGGTAATATCATCTTTTGAAAAAGTGACAAAAAGATTTCATGACAGCCTTTTTGGTACTTGTATACTTTAGTTTTTATAAACACTTTCCTTATCCAAATTTAGAGAAGTTGTCTTCTACCAGGAGACTCACTTGTCGACTTAGAATATGCCGATGAGATAATTCTGTTTGGTGAAGACGCTGACAAAATGCAGAGTCTTCTGACTATTATAAGCAACAATGAAGGCATGTTCGGGATGCGATTCTCCTCCTCGAAGTGCAAAATGTTACTTCAGGATTGGGTTTCATCGGAACCTGAACTAATGATATGGAGTGAAGTGGTTGAACGTGTTGACCTCTTCACTTATCTTGGGAGTATCATCAGCCCTTGTGGCCTGGTGTGTGACGAAGTCTCAACGCGAATACAGAAGGCTCGACTTGCGTCATTTATGGCGTAGGCGAGATATCCGTCTAGCAACCAAAGGACGGGTTTACTGTGCAGCAGTTCGTTCCGTCCTACTTTATGGCAGTGAAACATGGCCGGTAAGAGTAGAGGATATTCGTAGGCTACTAGTGTTCGATCATAGTTGTCTTCGAAGCATTGCTCGTATATCCTGGGACTACCGAGTAAGTAATGGAGTTGTTAGGAAACGGGTGCCAGGCAAGGATGACGAGTCAACTGATGAAGTACTAAAACTTCATCAGTTGAGATGGCTAAGACACGTGCTACGTATTTCCAACCACCGGCTGCCCCGACTGCAATGTTTCATGGTGTAGGAGTAGGTTGGAAGAAAGCTAAGGGTGGCCAGACCGAAGCGTGGCACAACTCAATGAAGTCACTTACAAGTATACTGAGTCATGTTGGTAGGTGTAGACTACCTGGTTGGGATGAGATGATGGCAATCGATGGTTAGAGACCTTGAATAATATGACTCAAAATCGTTTGCGATGGCGCAGGTGCGTCCGCTTTTTTTATTCCTCCAAATTCTAATCTTCTGAATTCTCCATGTCTCTATCTTTTTTTCTTTCCAAATTTATTTTACTGGATTTCGCTCCATAAATAACATCTTCAAATCCTAATCTTTCGGATTACTGCTCATACTCTTACTATTTCTACCGCTATGGGATTTGAATGGACAACTGCATCTCTGTGTTAATGTTGTATGGCAACTCGAACTGATGTACGTGCGTACGAAGTTCTACGTTGTGACTGACTGACTTTTACCAAATGTGGATGTATACATAGTTCTTTAAGATTATATAAATAACAACAGTCCAGAAAACATTTCCTGATTAAATTGCAAATGTAAGTTTGGACAAGAAAATAGTTTAATCAGGGCTAATTTTTTTCAATTTATTTTTTTAAATGATGCTACGATTGAGAAGAAAATAATATGAATGATTCTTACGATATGCAATTTCCCTCTTTTAGAATTTACAAAAGCACAAAGCGAAGTAAACTGACCAAGAGAATATGACAAAGATTCCGTTGAATGACACAGACTTTGAATATTTAAGAACTACACTTATATCAGAATCAGCAAGTGTTTCAGACAAATTTGATAAGCTGTATTATTCTAAAGGATACCTTACAGGACGGCAGGTAGGCACAGCAACTAAAAGGTTTTAGAGGTTGAAAAATTTCATTTCTTCTTGTCACCATAGTTTCAGTATACCTCATATTCATATTAGTTTCGATTGTCGTTTGAAACATTTCAAAGTCACGAAGATATACTGAATTCTGTCTGTTTGAAGTTTTTGTTTTTTTGAAACTCACCCTGAAATTCATGAGAAATGTTTTTAAATTCATTAATTCAAAGCGCGTGAGGAGCTGTCAAAATGCCATCTTTGCTTATCATGCCCCTATGTTTGTTTGCTCTCTGATTGATTGTCAAATTTTGGTATTTTGGGTAGTGAAGATTATTGAAATCCGTGGTTTTACATTATGGACTAACTTGAAATAGACAACTTTTAAGAACCAGCAAGTACTGCTTAGCTATTTCATCCTATAACGGAACGCCTTGTGAGTGTAGATACACAACACTACTAAGGTTCGAATCCTGAACTTGCGGGCAGTACAACAAGTGTTTAATTTTTGGACCATTAAGGTATCATCCAGTAGTTTCCATTTATAATTTCAAACAATTTGCGGTATCATGATTTAGGTGCGAATAATTCAAATTAGCAGTATTTTACTGAAGTTTCTTAGTCTGTAATGTATTTGGGACTACCAAGTGAGTAATGCTGAAGTTAAGGTCATCAATTTTGTAAAGATGACAAATCCATTGACTATTAGACAAAATTTCATCTGCCATGATGATTGGAAAAGGTGTTACGGATATCCAGTAACTGTCCAACCCGACTATTGATAGTACTTGACGTAGAAGTAGGTTGAAAGCTATAGGGGTGAAAACAAGAGATGACATCAGTTCAGACAGTCGCATAATGATAATCAGGGCAGCATGAAGGGGTTTAGGCCTCTTAGTTGAAATTCGTATGTTACTTGTGATCACCGATTGGAAGCTTAAAGTAACAAGAATCAAGATAGATCACAATAGGGTGGATGAATTTGATGTCTTTCTCCTTAATCTTAGGTTTGGTTAGAATTATTTCACAGCTTTTATCCCTATATTTTAACCCTTCGTCTCATAATTCACTCTCTACTCTTGGTAATTTTCATCACTTTGGGTATTATTTCTTTGCATGTTGTGTTATTCATCTATTCTCACCGTGCGTATATTATGAAAACTTGAAACCGTCTTTATTTGTGCCTGTCACTAAGTTTTTCATAATTTACTGACAAACGTATTTGGTGTAGTACATTATAACATTTTTACTAACAATATAATTATTATACACAGATGTTTTTCTCCAAAGTTGTTGATGTTAAATGAGTGAATAACAAATAGAATAGTTCGAATCTTGATCCTAGTTGATCAGTCAGGTGGTGTATTTGAATGAATACAATATATATTTTAATAGTCTGGGTTATTTGTAAAGGATTGACGCGGATATTCTAACCTTCATCTCGTGGAGAATTCCTGTGTAAAGTGGTTGACAAATTTGGAAACTGTAGTATTTTTGATATATATGATGAAATAATGAAAAATTAAATAGTGAATTAATTTGAACTTTGAGGGTGCTTTAAAAAGTCAGACAGAATGATATATACAGAGGGATTAGTTTATTATGATGCTTCTTATGTCTCACAATAGTAAAATTTTAAATATCAAAACTGAAAACATGACCGATAGTCAATTTGACGTTATACATACATAGAGTTATAAATAATTAACAACCTAAACATGAAAATACAAAATATCAACTAGCACCAACCTACTACGTAGTGTAAAGGAAACGTAACTCATGACATTATTGTTCCAATCATTCGACCTGTCGAAAATTTCCATCCTTTGTACAGAAATTTCACTTCTGTAAAGCAAGAAATTTTAACACAACTGTTGAAAATTAGTCAGTCAGTCACAATGTAGAACTTCGTACGTACGTACATCAGTTCGAGTTGCCATACCACATTAGCACAGAGATGTAGTTGTCCATTCAAATCCCATAGTGGTAGAAATAGTAAGAGTATAAGCAGTAATCCGACGTGCAATGTTTTATGGTGTAGGAGTAGGTTGGAAGAAAGCTAGGGGTGGCCAGACCGAAGCGTGGCACAACTCAATGAAGTCACTTACAAGTATACTGAGTCATGTTGGTAGGTGTAGACTACCTGGTTGGGATGAGATGATGGCAATCGATGGTTAGAGACCTTGAATAATATAACTCAAAATCGTTTGCAATGGCGAAGGTGCAACTACTAGCAAGCTCAAAAATCGGTCTCAAGCAGTACAAGTTTATTTATTTATTTATTTTAGATAACTCTTGATTCTTGGTAGTATTTTTTACCTTCGAGTTCGTACTTTCATTCTTTCTCTTTCAAAAAGTGCTTCGCATATTCGATTGCCCACTCCACTTTGCATCAGACTTTTAAAGTTCTTTATTTGTGAGAATGTTAATTACTGTATCTTCGACTGATAGACCTTATGTGGTTTCTACTGCTTATATACGACTAACTGCATAAAAAAGCAGTTCACACTATGTCGACGATTCTATCCGATGAATAAAACTCATACGTGTAAAAATTAAACCATCATATATACATTTCATTTTTTAAATGTTCCAAAGTTTGACATTAGTCGAAAGTTTGTTAATCTATCAATTACTAATTAGATATCAACAGAGTAATTACTTTTCACTCTATCCATAAGTACACCATGAAAGAAGAATTTGCTGCTCTTAATTTATCTGATTGCATAGGATAAATTACGCCGACTGCAATTATCATCATATTTCAATATCTGAGACCATAACTAAAATCTGGGAATCATTGAAATATCTTGTCTATCATGAAAAGAACTTCAAAGTATTTTTATTATTCACTAACCAGGCTAATGATCATTAATTTTCCTTTTGTTGTCACTTATATTTTTAGGCTGCGGCCATCTTAGCTTGTTATAAAACAGCTCCAGAAAGAGTCAAGGTGATAAAAGCCTTACAAAAAGTACGTTTACATCCTTTAATTATATATAGTCTGATATTGAATATTAGTTATGATTGTAAACATTATCTATTGTTTTACTTCAATTCTCTCGTTTATTTTGCATTGTAGAGATTATGCCGTATGACATGTGCTGAAGCAACTGAAATATTAAATGTTTTACAATCAACCAATTATGATCGATTGTTTGCATTGGACTGTATTAAACAGTAAATCATTTGTTATTCGACTAATTGTTTCAAATAATTAACTAACTTTTTTGTTTAACTTACGTAAATTTTAGAAAACAAATTATTAAAGAGCAGAGATATTTAAAACTATGGGGTGACAGATGTTTTTTCGTTAGAGATGTTCAGCTCATAAATCAGATTTTAGTAGTTGTACCTTTTCTACACTAGATACTTCACTTATGAAGCATTTGATTGTCTTCACTGGAGACTTAAAAGAAGTGAGCTGTTGAAATTTCGATACAGGTGATGGGTAGTTTTTTCGCACGACGTCGGTGGATTTGATTGATTGTTAATGCCAGTTATCCTTTCATGTAGCTTGTATGTAGTTCGGCAGTTATTTTCTCTTCTACTCTTTTTTCATTGTACCTTGTCAACATCTTTTCCTACTTAACTTATTACAAAATACCGATCGCTTGATTAATGATTCGAATGCCATGGCTTTAGGAATTGTTTGACATTTTTTGTGTTGCATTTGCATAGGGTTTCAACATTTTCTCAGTTGAATTCATGTTTACATAAACGATACGAACGAATATGGGTTATAACATAAAGGATACTAATTCATTTTTACTTATATCAGGTTGAAGAGGGTCGTCACTTTGTTTCGTTTAATCTTTCTTAAGGTTCTGACAATTTATTTTGCAAATGTTTCCCGACCCATCCTCTTTTGTCTCTATGTTTATCAAGGATCATGCTGAGTTGGTGGTTACAGTTGGGCCTAAAAGCTCTTTATAGTCTGATATGTTCATCATGTATATTATAAACGTTTACGGTAAATTTTGTAGCTGATCGTGATTTAATCACGAACTTCCGTAAACACCATTGAACGGATAGTTGTTTCGTTATTTTCATAACAGAATCAATTGGATCGTTTAGGTTTGATTATCACCACTGGTTAACCAGTTTCACAGCAGTGATATCAGTGAAGAAACTATTGTAAAAGTATGAACAGATCTACAGTCTTAGAAATTCCATAACTGTGTACGCTTGCAACTCCGAACCAGATCTAATCACTGACATACTGATCTAACTACTGGAACCACTTATTCGGTCTTTAATGCTCCACACCATTAATTTCAGTCAAACATTAATATACCATAATTGGTATTGTTAGTGAATTATTATTTCTGTTTTGGTTTGACTGACTTCGTAGGCCATTAATTTACGTCTCAATTGTACAAAGTTTTCATAAAATAATTTAACTAGGATACTTTTGTTAATATATATATATCAATTAATGTTCCTAATTCTTTTTCCTCTTTAACTCATTTACTTTTACCTAAAAAAATATGTCGTTTTTCACTTTCACTTTTTTGATTTTTGTTTTTCAGTTCATTAATTGATCATGAAACAACTGATGGCATTGAATATATCTTGAAAGCTTTTGTTTATGAAATTGATAAATTGAAAGCATTACGAATATTATCAACTGTAATGTTTCAGATTATCTTGTCTTACAAATAATATAATCACTCTTTATTTATTTTTATCCACATACATATAGGTTAGTATGTATGTCAAAAAAGAGCTAGCCAGTGGTGGACATCAAGTCTATGCACCATTCGGTGGTCTTTATACCCAAAGCTTTCCAGGTTGTGAGGCACTCTATGGACCAATTAGTGAACAAATGGCTCTCAAAGATGTAAGAAACTTTCTATTTTATTACAAATAAGTTTATTACCTTCTGTTTAAGTAAATTCATTTGCAGTAAGTAATACACTTTTACGTTAGTTTTCGCTATGTAATGATATAAGTTGAAGAATCGTTGAATACTGTAGAGTATTGAAAGGTTTACTACACCTTGGGGTTGTGTACTTGTGATCACATACAAGATTGAACACAAAACCTTTAGGTCGTGTAAGGACTTTAGTCAGAGTTTACATTTTGAACACTAGTCAATATGGGATTATTGAATGATAAAGGCGATAACCGTCTAACTTACGAGATAGTTCAATCTCACCAATCACAATTTCTCACTAGAACTCTGAGAATTCGTTTTAAAGGAAGTCATTAATTAACAATTCCTTTTTGTTCAGTTGGGTGGTTTGTGAATATTGGTTCAGTTGTAAGATGAATCTTACCGAACACTGATATCGACTGTACAACTACTAAAAACCATTGGGCACTGTTTATTTTTACCATTACTTTCTTTTTGATCAACTAAAAGTGAAGCGTATCAACTTCAGGCAATATATTGTTTGATGGAGCACAACAATGTTTATTATTGCGGCATTATGTTACCTGAGGTAAGCGAACTCACCCTAAAGTTCCTAAGGAGATTGAGTCTTGTACTTTTCTGTTTTAATCATACAACGAGGTAGATTCTCTTCTTATTTTATACTCAGAATTGCAACAATTGTTAATATTATTTAATATTCATTTATTACTTTCACTTAGATGTAGTTTGCTAAAGTGAAGTGCGGATTTCAGTGCAAATTGATATTATTTGAAAGTTATCGAGAAATGTTGAACACTAATCAGTTTTCTTATATCAGATTAAAGCTTGTCATTCGTGGTATGCATGTAAACATTCACGAAGCTAAAACGGATTTTGAATACTTCGGAATGCAAATACTTGTTCAGATTATATTGCAACATTTAATGGGCTTGAAATATATCAATCTGCTAATTTGAGCCCTCACAAACATATTGGAACTAAAGTCTAGTACATAAATGGGTAATCGGTAAATAAATACAAGTTGTTAGGTTTCTCAAACAATGTGAAGGGAGCTGTTTGTTTCCACTGACATACGGTGACTGGTTAAATCATATCAGTTTCTGTCGAACAGATTTTGAAAAAATGAAATCAGCTTAAAGTTTGCCAGGGCCATTAATTCCTCTGCAATCTAAATTTTCATAACTTTCAAAAGATATACAAAAAGTTGCTCTTTGTCTTAATCTATTATTTCACCTTAATCAACATCCATAAAGTTCATTAGAATACTGTACTACATTCGACACCACAACTATAAACCCCTAAAGTTTACGACACTCCATCTTGATGATCGACCTATTAATTAAATGAAATATATCAAAATTTTCACGGGTGCATATAAACGTAACAAAAAGAAAATTATAAATCGGCAGAATCTTAAGAAAAACAATCTAGAAATGATCACGGACTAAACTTATTGGAGATTTAGTTTCGAAGTGTCTATATCAGTTTATAATCCCATACATTATCGTCGAATTGCATTGTCGTGTCAAATGTTAAGATTTAATCATGTAATTTTCACTGTTTTCTGAACAACAATAAAAATTACTTCATGAAGCTTTATTAGTAAGCTCTTTAGATAGTGACTAGGAACAGTTGAAGGAAGTTAAAGGCAAGCCATAGAAAACCTTGGACCTAGGCTTCATACTAGTTGTCACATATGGTCAGTCTTAAGCGAATCGACTCTCTCCATAGGTTTGAAACCATTGTCACTAGGGATCTTAATCTGAGATTTCGTGGATTTGGATAGCTGACAAGTGACAAGTACTTTTGGGATCTCCATAAAACCACCTAACATCTTAACATTGTGCACTGTCTCGTAACTTAGACTAATGGGCACATTACAAGGCGGTTGATGGAGGCTACATAAGAATGACGATGGTATATGCTTAGTGGTTAATAAACGTAGAATGCAACATTATCTACTATATGTTAGTTATCAAATACACCTACCAGCGATTTCTCTCAACAACAAGTCACTTCTGAGGTTGTAAATGACATCAAAGTAAGAAGATCAAAAGAAGAACTTCACGGGAATAATTCAATTTAGATAATTTTGCTATCTTTGTAAATAATGGATAATAATAAGACCGATTCATATTCTTATGCTCTGCTTCACAACTTCGAAAACCGGAGAAAAATGCATCTCTACTTCGTTAGTTACTTATAAGTAGTTAGATGTTGTTTGAAATCTTTATCGAGAAAAACAAGTTGATTCGTTGAAGAACTCATGGGAAAAGTGATAGAAATGAATTCTAATTTGTTTTCCTCAAGTGATCAGTCTTATGGTGCATATTTTAGTAGTTGAATTCAGTAAAAATTCCATTGTGACATGGTATGGTTACTTCAGTTATCATGTTGTAATTTTGGTAACTGTAATTTCACATGATACACATTCATTTCTACATGATTTAATGAAAAGGAGCAGTAAAATGTATTTATTTGTTGTATAAATAATTGCGATAACTCCTTTTTGAGTTGTCAAAAGATAAAGTAAATAATTGTGCAACTATGTAGATAAAAATAAGCAAAGTTGAGCAAGTTTTATAGACACATGGGTAGACTTTTATTTAACATTTATTCCAAGTGGTTAAGCTAATTAATTAATTTCTTTTAGTTAGCTGACAAATTAGTACGGTTCATTTGGTTAAAACATTTTGATAAAATAAGTGATATGTGCATATGGTATTAAGAGTATGCTTATTTTCATTACCCTTCATGCTAATAGATTGAACTCGAGAATGTATAAAATTCAGGTTAATATTGATATAATTTTACTATCTTTCCAAATACATTATCTATTCAGAAAAAAAATGTACGGAACGAATATGTAAACAGTGGCCTTCTCCTCTCCGTACTGTCTCGGTCCTTTTTATTCTTCTATGCTTTTAATATTTCATGTCGTTTTCAATTAATTGAAAGAAAACCAAACATGAGGAAAATCGTAAGAGCGTATGTACTTTATCCGTGCTACCTACTCATATAACCTCTAGGACCATTAGTAAAAACGAATGAAACATAACGATTATGCGAGTTAATCATTTTCGTTCATTACTTTCAAAAAATTTATCTGTATTATACACTGTTCTTGTTTATGTCAAAACATAAATATAGGAATAAAGAATTAGGTTAAATTAATATTAATTATGCCTATATCTAGTGTATTCATTTATTATTTCCATTGTGATTATGCAAGTCGTAAAAACTCCTATCATTACTGTTAGTTACCATTCCATAGTTTAAACAAACAGTTGTTTCTGTAATTTCTGTTCAATATATGAATAACGGATTTTCTGTTTTGACCAATTGATTTGAGCTGATAGTTATAAGACTTAATATGGTTTGTTCTATCATCCTAATGTTTTAATATACAATCTGATGATAAAAATATGAAATAGAGATGAGTGGTGTCTGACAGTGGAACCTTGGATACGCGTTTCATCCTATTTTGGATTCGTCAGCTTGATGTACTTGCATCCCTGAGTTGATATTCACTCAAAGACTTGAACTCATTACCGTTCGCTTCAAACGACATCTCTTTGTCCATTTTGTTACTGAGCCCAGACAACAACTAGCTTGTTCAATTCAGTGGAGCCTAATTGATTTTTGTCTTGGTTGTTCGGATCTTTCCACTGACATCAAGGACTACAACTGATCAGTCTCTTATTGCTTTATGTGCATCCTGTGCGGATTGCCTCAATATTGCCCTCAGTCACAATCATTATATGCAGAGATGGATGGTGGCTAGTTCCAAAAGTCAATAGAAGGAATAAAAAAAAAACTAATAAAACAACCAATTAAAAATATAAAGTATTCATAAAAATCATTTTTGTTTACACCATATTCGGACGATTAATGATCAGTGATTAGAGTATTTCCAGTTAGATTGACGCTCCAGAAGCAATTTCAGGAACTGTTCTACCATGTTCAGATAAGTTCTTTTTTTTAGAATGATTTATATATATATATATATATATATATATATATATATATATATCATCCATAATAAACTTATTGTTGCTTTTTGTTTCTTCTTCTCACAGCATTTAGTAAAGCCTTCTCTTCCAGTAACAGCAAATATACATCCATCACTGTCAATATTTCATTCATCACCATCATATAAATATATAGGTGACTTAAATCGTTCATGGTATCCCGGTGGCGGTAGACCACCTTTACCACGATCAATAGCGGATTATGTTAAAGTAGGTCCGCCGAAACAACTAGCTGAAACTGAGCCGGATTTTCTCAAAACATCCCCCATCTTTCATGATAACAATGCTGACAATACCAATAATGTATGTTTAACTGTTGATCAAGTTGAAAAAAGCGAATAAATCGTCATCTATTTGTGAGCAAGCAGAAACTAATTGTCGTCTTTAATATTATTTTACAACACAAATTGAATTTTTTTATCCATTGTGAAACTAGTTAGAACAAAAAGGATTTTTCACACATGCAATTGTTAGATGTATGCAATTCGTGAGTAATTAAATATTTTTTTATCTGAAAGAACCAGACTTCTTTACTTAAATTGGACATAAAATATGATATTCAAAAGAATTATTGATATTTTTGTTTACAATTTTGCAAGAATATACAATTGAATGGACACGATCAATCAGTATTTTACTATTGAAGAAGATATATAAGAATATGAGATGTAGATTATTAAACCTTTACTTCATGAGTTAGTTAACTATCAGAAGAAAATAAAGAATAAAGAATTACTGATAACATCTGCTATCCAGTCTTTGTTTTATTGTACACTAATTTATTAGATGTCATTAGGTATATTATCATCAAATAAAAAAGTATACTCTGTAGGTTATTCATCCTAGTTCAAATAGAAGCAAATCTATTTAGTCCATTGAGATCTTTGAAGAATATACCTCTTTTAGTTGTCTTGTGATATAAAACAATCATTATCTAATTGTTAAGTTCGCTAGTTGATTAACTCAGAATACGGTATACAACTACGGCACTTGAACGTATAGAACCACACAGTCACAAATCCGAAGACAAAAGAAGACTGGAGAAGTGCTTGTTGGGTAAGAATCAAAATGTACAGAAAATCATGAGTATTTATAGGTATTAGCGTTTGTTCTATCAACATTAAAATTTAGCCAACCCTCAAAGAGGTAAGTTATGCTACTGTCCAATAGTAGCATGCGACGTTCATATTCTAGAAAGCTCCATCACGTGCTGATTAAGTGGGAACCTTTAGGGCTTCTGGAGGCTCCCATCGTAGTTCCTGGAAGCCGTCCCAACACTAATTTACTTGGTGATCATCGATTCTTCTCCACAAGTTCAATGCTTCCAGAATTCATCATTTATCATGCAAGTTATCTTATAGAAAATATCTTGAAGAAACTTACTTGATAGCTTTTGATTTGTTATTCAATGAAGTGGTATTCATCTTTTAAACGGACAAATATTACATTGTAGAATCATGTAAGAAACTGAACCGATTCAATTTTTCATACTTTATTTATTACATATGTAAACTAAAAAACTTACAATGAATAACACAGATTGATTTATTCGCCTAAATCATCATCTAACCTAGCTTCAATTTAATACCACCACATATAGTGACCAACGATTAAAAATCACAACGTTCACAACACACAGTCCTAGTCTCCTCAATTAACTATTTTTCAAAACTTCACCGGCTGATTGAACTTGCCTACTATGAACCGTATTTTTAGCGCCACACAGAGCGTTGCATTTTGATCAAACTACACATTAGTAGTGTTTGGAAAATACCGTCAAACGAATACTTGTGAATGTGATTAAAACGATATGTGTTGTAAAAATGTTTGACTAAAGCGTACTGTGATAAAAAATTTATCATATGAAATAATAATCTAATAATTACTAATGATAACTCTGCCTGTAGCTTTTCTAGGACTACTGCCGGTCCCAAGTCCACACCAAGGAGGAACGTTGGGCATGGGATCGGCAACCCCAACCCGTAGAAAACAACCTTGCTAAAATAAATGCTAGCCAGAATTAAAAAAATTAAACTATTTAAACTCTGCCTTCCAAGTTAAAGGAGGAATTATGACGCCTCATGATGAAAGCCGAGATTCTTCGGAAATCACGAGGCACATTTCCATCCTAACAACCAGAGCAACTATTTTTATAGGCACATAGAGTGTCCGGACAAAGTAAGAGACCTGGAGAACCAATGAAATAGCTGCGGAAATGAGGAGATACAATGTAGCGGTTCTCGGAATGAGTGGAAAGCATTAGACCCAAGCTGGACAGAAAAGGATGGATTCAGGAGAGATGCTCCTGTACTCTGGTCAGGTAATATAAAAATCTCCACACACTCAGTGAGCTGCTCTGATGCTGTCCAAAGAAGCACGAAATGCACTCATGGGATGGGGATCTCATGAACCTAGTGTGGTGTGTGCTACTAAATTCGATAGATCTAAGTAGTATGTATCATCAATCGAAAGTGAAATACCTGGCAGCAGAAAGTTAAGAAGATCAAAGAAAAGAGAAAGAGAACAGAGAATGATTAGTGTAGAAACGGAGGAACAATAAAATGTTAAACGATTGACTGATATGTTGAAAATGAAGTATTTACTGTATGGTTCTCAGATTTTACTGAGCGATTCTGTAATCTTATATTAAAATACATTCGATTGTCCCCAGTTGTGTTTTCGTTCACCATACTAGGACCATCAAAGCATCTTTCAAAACAAAGAAGGGGAAAATTATAATGAATGTTATCCAGTGTCATGCACCCACTGATCATAGTATTGACGACGATAAAGATCAGTTTTACGAGAGGCTGCAATCAATCACAGCAAATTGCCCAAGAAGGAATCTCACTATCCTGATGGGAGACATGTACCCCAAAGTTGGAATGGACAACACCGGATATGAGGATATCATGGGACGACATGGACTGACTGGAGGAAAAGAATAAGAATGGTGACAGATTCGAAAATTTACCTACATCCAACAAAATGGTGGCACAATATTCACCCACAAATGCACAAACTAGCTAATTCAGCAATAGGAGAACAAGGAATGTTTACAGTGGCACCGCGCACATTAATAGTAATTGATGTCCAGTCCTTATTCAGGCAAGGCTACTTTAATAACATGACTACTCAATTTACAGAAGGCAGAAAAAGTCCTTAAGATCGGTTACAAATTATTGCGCCGATATGCGGTCGTTTTCAAACTTTAAAGTGATTTCCAACCTATCGAAATATGGTTTTCAATCCTGTTTTCAAGGAAATTCGCAGTTTGTTAAGTTTTAATATTTAAAATGCCATAGAATGGTTAATATAGTTTTAAAACTGAAACCAAACAGGTCGTCTTTATTTTGTGACAGTCTTCGAGATTATCTACACTGACTTTAACAGCTTGTTATGATGTAATGCTGATTTTGTTCACACTTTTGCAACCTCGAGGGTACTAATGTTCCTCAATCATGTGTGAAACTTTTTATTTAGTACTATAGGCAGATAAGTTATCCAAACAATAATTGACCTACAGTTTGTTCAAATTTCTTACAAAAGTCTGGCATGCTGATAAAGTTCAGAGAATCAAGTTACAGCGTGCCAAATAACAAAGTAAACTATTGTGCCTATATTGAGAGACTTTCGGTCAATTAGAAGACAGTGTTTAGTCAAACTAGAATTTATAAAACAAAAATAACAAATTATAGTGGATATAAAATAATAATATGATTAATGAATTCTTTTAGGTGGTAAATTGGTTCATTGTTTGTAGGATATAGAGACGTCCAGCAAAGAAATTCATGTGTAAGGCTTAAAATGATTCCTAATAGAGGGCCCTTATACAATGATAAATAGTGTTTAAAACGGTCTTGAATCGCTGCTATGGCAGTGGTGTGGGTTTGTGGCGAGATTTTATCTGGCTACTGATCCATTCCAGTGTAGTTTAAACAAATTAGCAGTTTTAGGACGCACGTCTCGTCCTATTTGGGACTCGTCAGCCGGATGTACCTGCATCTCAGAGTTGATGTTCACTCTGGGACTCGAACCCAGTACCCTCGCTTCAAACGCCATCACGTTATCCACTCGGCCACTGAGTCTTGATAGCCACTTGCTTGTGTCTTATTATGCAGACGCACATCATCAAATACCTTAAGAATTTTTCACTTCAGGTACGATTTGCTTCAGACTTAACAAGGGTTTCTCGAAACTGAGCTTACATGCTATATATGGTTGAATAATTTGAACATATTTGTCAATTTTAAGCCTCTTAAGAAGTGAATGAAAATTTACTAAGCTCTACTGAAGGTGCAAACTATTCATCAGTTAGTTTGAATTGATTGCAAACACAGAACCGTAAAGATCTTAAATCTGATCATTTCACTACTAAATACACTCTAGTTTTGGCCGCCAGCTTAACTGATTTAACTTTATGATGTTCTCTGTTTGATGTTATGTGGTAGAAGCGATAAGTGGGAAGTTATGAACCAAGCTGATACTCGTCTGTATTGTATGTAGATAATATCTAAACGTAATACCAGGTGATAAAAGTTCAAAGTCAAAATTTTATTTCATCATATGTTGCAAAATATACATTCAGTCTTTAAAAAGATTCGAGTTTGTGAAAAACTACTTTGATATTACTTGATGTAAAAGTCATTATGAAATGTAATTTTATTTACACTTTTTATGACTTTTACTTCTTTGAAGAATTCGTAATATATTTTTTACCATTTTTTGTGAATATTTTGATCTTAACTACACTAAGATTCTGCAAGTGTCTTCTGAGAACTCTATATTTCCAAACTTTTTGATTAGACAGTTTCATTTGTAGGAGCGACATCCAAAAATAACAAACTGTTTGGTGAATTTTGTTTGTTTTCCCCTCTTTTTTTCGTAACACAAATGTAAATAAAAAGTGGTGTAAAAAGAATACTTGCGACTAACCAATATTCATCAGTTAGCTTGAATACTGAACTATCTATTGGGCTTGAGTATCTTTTCGAATATCTGTTATAAACCAACCTCTTCTTTTTGCTTGTATTATTTTATGAATAAATTTGTTAATGCAATGAGAAGACGAAGATTATCAGAACTTTGTGATATATTAGCGCAATACATTTCGAACAATCTGATCACACATATACTTGTTAAGAACATTTATATATAAAAATAAAAGGTCAACTAGACTGGAAATAGGGGTAAGAATAGACAAGGATAATAATGATAAAATAATGTGAAAACAATTTAACACTTAATCACTCTGGATAATAAGCATATATTACCAGGGTAGGTTTAAAGAGAGAACAAACTGTTTTTGAATACACAAAGGGGGGTCGAATTTTCGTATGGCTAAGGCTTCAATAAACCTCAGTATACGCCCTTTTACACTTTTAAACAACACCACAAAAGCCGAGTTTAGATCAATCTTATGACCTGTTTCGATTATATGTTTAGCAATAGAGGATGATGGATGTTTATCCTCTACTCTTATTGGGTCATTCGACTGTATTTGTTTTTGCAACCATTTGGGTACATGTTCACCCACCCTAATTTTCAGATCACGATTGCTCCTCCCTATGTATGTGTGACCACACACACATTTAAATTGGTAAACACAGTGGGATGTGACACAATCGTTTTCATGTCGTCTAGGTTTTGAATGAAGCATGGACCTCGTTCTTTCCTTGATTATGACTTTCGCAGCACAATACGTTTTGTTGATAACAGATTTAAGCCTTTGTTTCAATAAAAGGCTATT